ATCCATAATAAAGTCAGGTTCTCTTCAAACCTTTTGTTTTATTTTCATCTGTAATTGCTCTGTCGCAGTCTGTAGAGCTTCTTTCTTGGCAGCAATACGCATTTCAACAGACCTGTGAATACAAAAGATACGGCATTGGTATTCCTTCAAGAACAATTCAAACTTATGGCGGGATCCCAGACATGCCTCCTTCCTCAGAAGAATATAACTGGGTTCCCGAGGATGAATTTCAAACATCTTTTGGGCTATATATGTGTAATGTTTCCCAATTTCCTGCCATAAACTTTAACACAACAATAGTGGCAGTTATTAACTAAAAACTAAGTAAAGGAAAACGCTAATCGAGCGGATAACTTCATCAAGAATTTTTCAAGGCAGATCCTGGAATTACCTGGCTTTTTCTCTTGCCGCTTCTTCTCTTGCTCTTTCTTTTTCCATTTTTTCTTTCTTATATTTGGCTTCCTACATTAAATAAACCTCAGTGTATTCGTTTTATGCTCACTTATCAATTGTCCAACTAGAAAGAGTGACTATTCTATTTACCTGCTCAAGTTTACGTTGTTGGACCTCTTCTAGTCTTGCAAGTCGATCGGCTTCTAGCTGACGACGTCTTTCCTGGAGACAGTTTGTTTTTATTTAAACATGTGTTATGTAACACAAAAAAACGTAATACTGATGCCACAATTCAAATAAGTAAAAAAAAGAAAAATATTACAGCAACAACAACAATAAACTACAACCACATTAAAAAATAGACAGCACAGCACAGCACAGCACAGCACAGCACAGCACAGCACAGCACAGCACAGCACAGCACAGCACAGCACAGCACAGCACAGCACAGCACAGCACTTTCTTTTGCTATATACCTGCGCAGCGGTCTCTTTAGCTTGTTGCTCTTCTCGTTTCTTTCTCTTCTTTTCTTCCTATAATCCATGAACAGTACAATTAGAAAATGTTCATTATCTAAAAATCACACTAGCTTTCTGGACTTACTTGTAGATCTTGTAGACGCGCGGCGTGCTCCTAGAATAAACAAAAACGAGAAGTGTAAAAATCACCGGCCGAGAAAGCCTGGTGGTGCCAAATTATTCAGATTGACACATTGTCAGTGGTTTTACCTGTATCCTTGACATSACCTCCATCTTTTTATTCTGAGCTTCTAGTGTATTGATGAATGCAATTTCGTTCACCTTGAATAATAGAT